TCTACTAATAAACAGACTCTGATGGTGATGGCGTGTTTTAGGCTGGGTAAACAGCAAGCTCCTCAAAAAAAAAAAAAAAAAAAACCTTCGCGCTTACTAGCATTAGCTAACCGGCTAGCGTTAGCCTCGCTGTAGCAACTCAAGCAACACAAATGGCGGCTAACAGTGTTGTGCAGCTTTCTCACACTCACTCACACACACACACACATTTAGTTTAGCTGGAGTATGACCGAGCGAGAATATGCGCTTTAACCGATATCTCTGTATCACACACTGCAGCGTCAACATGCTAAGCTGTTTTTTTTTTTTTTTTTAAACGGAACTCGCTAATGCTAACGCTAGTGCTAGTAGTGTTGGAGTGTGCGTGGCCGCGTAGTTCTCCAGGCTAGCAACCTCGCTTCACTCTCACACAGAGAGGAAACTCTTTAATTCCACCCTGTTCATCATTTCTAAATAAAACGCACCCTCAATCCCTGAATCTAAACAGACATTTAAGTCATATTAACGCCTTGCTAGCTCACTAGCAGATTAGCTCTAGCAGCTAGCCGCTAACGCTAGCCCTGATACGCGCTGGGTTTTGTTGAAGGCCTCATTTGAATACAATCAGAGCTAACGATATCTTCGAATTCATATATATGTGTATATTTATAGAGAGAGAAATAGCGCGATTTTAACTTGTGATGCAAATATCAGACAAAAGGCACGGAACAGTTTAAAAAGCGTAAATAACAGTTGAGAAATAATACCGCAATGTGCTGCGTTACCGCCATGTAGTGACAAGCCGCAGTGTCCTGAGTTCTTCTCTGATCTGCGCCTCTGTGGCGGGGAGAGGAAGTGCGCCCCCTAGCGCCCACAGCTCCTACTGCCAAGAAAGGGGAACGGTGTCATTAAAAAACAAACAAACATATACAGTACACACACCAGGACACCACTGTTACACTGGGTGATTCTCAGAACAGCCTCAGTTTTTCATGTGAAGCATTCCTTTTGAGCTTCTTGCTCCATGTTGATCTGTTCGATCACATAGTTACTGCAGATTTATCATCACTTCCATGCTGCGAATCTCCCGTTCTACCACATCCCAGGGGAGCTCTACTGGATTGGTGACTAGGAAAGCCACCGAAGAACATTACACTCAGTGTTGTGTTCATGCAACCAGTCTGAGACGACTTTCTCTTCGTGGTGCATTATCGTTTTGGTAGTAGCCATGAGATGGATAAATTGTAGCCATAAGGTGAGGCTCATGGTCAGCAACAACACTCAGATAGGCTGTAGCATTCAAACAATGCTTGACTGGTATTTCTGTATGCCTAGAGCACATTCCCTACACCATTACACCACCAACAGCAGCCTGAGCTACTGACTTGGTTGGGTCCATATATTCATGCTGAAGACGCCAAATTCTGACCCGACCATCTTCACACTGCAGCAGAAATCAAGATTCATCACACTTCCCCTGTCCAGTTTCAGTGAGCCTGTGCCCACTCTAAACCCAGATTCCTGTTCTTGGCTGACAGGAGTGGAACCTGATGTGGCTGTTGTAGTTCAGCCACCTCAAGGTTCAACGTGTTGTGCTTTCTGAGATGCTTTTCAGCTCAGCGTGGTTGTAAAGAGTGGTTATTTGAGTTACCATAGCCTTCTTGTAAGCTCAAACCGGTCTGGCCATTCTCCTCTGACTTCTCTCATCAATGTGGCCTTTCCACCTGCTGCTCACTGGATGGTTTTTGTTTTTAACACCATCCTGTGTAAACGATAGACGCTCTTGTGCATTAAAGTCCCAGGAGATCAGCAGTTCCTAAATATTCAAACCAGCCAACGACCACTCCAGAGCCAAAATCACTGAGATCAGATTTTTCCGTGTTCTGAAGTTTGATGTGAACATTATCTGAAGCTCTTGACCTGTATCTGCATGATTTTGTGCGCTGCGCTGTGCCACACGATTGGCTGATTGGATAATTGCAGGAATGAGCAGGTGTTCCTAATAAACTGGCCAGTGAGCGTATATCACAGTTCATCTTCATCAGTTGATTGCTGATATTCTTACAAGTATTTTTTTTTTTTTGTATTTGAAGAGTTAAAATGACATTTATTTATGCAAAAATGCAAAAATGTATAAATAACATACATTATTAAACATAAATTATTAAGATTGATTAACATTTGGGGAAATTCTTCTGTAATATCCTTATAATTAGGGATAGGATTGAAGATGTAAAATCTCATAAAAATGCAGGTCATCTAGAAACTGAAAACGTTGGTTCTCAATATATGGGGGAATGATTTTGAGGAAAATGGTTTTTAAAATGTGGTTTAATGTATTTCCACTGTAGTTAGTGCGATTTATAAGGGTTATAAAGGAATTGGTCATGTACATCATAATTACACATAAACTGACATTCAAAGTTGCTAAATTTAAGATTTATGAGGATAAGTTTTTGTTAAGTTTTGTTTTGATACTTTATTACTACAGTCTAAGAGAAGACTTGTTATATGTAGTTACAATTAATCCAGAAATCAGAAAATAATAATAATAATAATAATAATAATAATAATAATAATAATATGACTTTTCTACCTGCAGTGTCTTATCTTAACTGTAAATAAATCAGTGGACCCCTCAGTCCAGATTTATTTTACAAACATAATCCAACTATTCAAATACTGGGAACATTATTTAAATGAGTGCAATAATATTTAGACTGTTTATTGAATTCATAAAGCATTCTAATTTCTCAACGTTCTACTCACAAATGACATTTTTATTAAAATGTTAGTTGGCCTTATTTTTTCTTTTAAAAAAGGCATTGATAAAGCTCAAATTTGAGTCTTTCTTTTTCATCAGAAATATTATTACTTTGAAATTCCTCTAGGTTTTTTTTTCTAAATGCTGTCGAATCTGGTCAGAAGCCCTTAATCCACTCTGAGAGAGATGAGGATTAGGCAAGCAGTGCTGCCAACCTGCAGACAGAGTGTGAGCGAAAATAATGAGACGGATGTTCTGCTCTTCAATTTAGGACTCCAACAAACCGCTGAATGTGTGAACGCAAGGAACTCTAAGTTTGTGCATCTGCTGGTGAAGAATGGTTCAGAAAACTCTGCTGCTGGGTGAGTTGATGTGAAATGGATACAAAACAAGTTAGCATTAATTTCTGGGGGAAAAAGTATTTAAAGGCAGAATTCTGGCAGTGATGTGCTGAGATTATTTCATTAAATGAGATTATTTGATGTACAGCAAAACCACATGCAATGTTGAATGAACTCTTCTGGTGTTTATCCGGAAGAGTCACTTGGACAAGCTAGACTTATATAAACACTGCAGATGTTTTGCTGTAGAAGTAAAATCTAATGGATTTTAAATTTTTAGTCTTATTTATTAACAAACCTTGCTTTTTTTTTTAACTTTATGCTAAAGCCAAAATGTGCTTTATGCTTTATTGCACTGACACACAGTACAAATCACAGTTTAAAAAATAAAAGGGTAAATTGCCCCTTTGCCTGCTGTATTCCAGTACGTTATCGAACACAGCAAAAGAAATCAAAGAAAAAAAAAAATCAAATTATTCCCGTTTTTCCAAGTTTTTGCAGCTCTTGTTAAACTTGGGTTTTCTGGAACACCAGCAGGTTCGAAGAAGACTACAGGTAATGAGTATCAATCTGCATTCATTTTTATTATTGTCACTTACTGTTTCTTTTTATAATATCTTAATACCTGGGAAACTTGTATTTCAGTTAAAAACAACTCAGGGGTGACGCCAGAGGGTCTGTGTGGTGCCTGGGTTAAAGAACCTGATGGAGGTTCCTTCACTTCTCCTAATTATCCTGAGAAATATCCTCCGGATAGAGAATGCATATACATAATAGAAGGTCAGTGTGTTATATCAGATGGTGATGTTAGCAGGCTCTGTGTATGTCTTCCTTTTATATTGGTTTTAAATGTCATTGTCCTTTCCTTGTGCTTTGTAGCATCTCCGAGACAATGCATCGACTTGTACTTTGATGAACAATACGCCATAGAGCCATCTTGGGAGTGCAAGTTTGACCACATCGAAGTTCGAGACGGCCCATTCAGCTCTTCGCCCATTATCGGTCGATACTGCGGGCAGCAGAGCCCGATGTATGTGAGGTCCAGTGGGAGATACCTTTGGATTAAATTTGTTGCAGACAGTGAACTCGAGGCCATTGGGTTTTCTGCAAGATACAATTTCACTCAAGGTAAGGGAAGAGTTCTGAAGTAAGCCAGAGGCATACAAAGGTGCACAGTCCCAACAAAGGACCTGGCTGTAGTAATGCAGCACAATCAGCAGCAGCTCATGTCCTCATAGGATGACATTAACGTGGACATAACCTCAAGCAAAATTAAGTCAAGAGGCTACCACACTTGACTTATGCCATAGGCTATTATCTAGCGAATTTTTAAAATAACCCTGTAATATGCAGTTGAAAGCCGATAACATTCAGTCATCCAGCATACAGTCTAGCAGCTCGTTCTGAGTGGTTTTACAAGTTCCTTTGTGCCACTGTGTGTCATACAGCAGGTGTTTTCCCAACGCCATTAACCAGAGCTTCAGCAAAACTTCCAGCCCAACTACATCACAAAATCCACATAAAAGAACTGAATCTAGCCCAAACAATTCAGGCATTAGAAAAGTGAAACACATTTTTGGTGCACATGCATTTTGATGTACGGACCTTATCCACTCCATAATCCCCCTTTCCCTCTCCTTATATTTGCAATTATATGTTACAAAAGAAATGGTTCTGAACATCATATACACACTGCCTGCACTTGCACGTTAACTTTTGTTTGTGAAAAATGATCAGATATGATGTTCTTTTTCTTTTGGCTGCTCCCATTAGGGGTTGCCACAGTGGATCGTTGGTCCGCATATTTGATGTTTACACCGGATGCCCTTCCTGACGCAGCCCTCCCCAATTTTATCCGGGCTTGGGACCAGCACCGGGAGTGCACTGTCTTGTGCAACCCCATTAGCTGGGGTTGGTTCCCTGGCTAGGACTCAAACCCAGGCCATGGAAGTGAGAGAGATGAGGCCTAACCACTAGTCCACCAGGGACCTGGAAAATTATCTGATATTATTTCTCATTATTTGCTATAAAACAAAATCACAGAGAACTTGGCATAAAACCCAATCTGGTATAAAAAAACCAGTTTGGCATGAACAACACTGCCATTAACTCTCCTGTCCTCTGCTCCTCCTCTACTGAAAATGTTCATAGAGAGATCATGGGGCAGCATGATTCCTGCCCAATGGGCCTCCATTAGCACTTGTTGCCACTCTTATTTTTGACCACTATGTGCAATAATAACTTTATGGCGCTAAGTGGGACAGTTAAGCATGCTGCCCCACGATCGCTCACCATCCAGAGAGGAGAGCAAATCAATTGAACATTGGCTTATATCTGTCAAATATCAACATATTTTGATTCATTAACCACCAAAAACAGACAATTGGTGTTTCCCAGTAATTAAAAATGTTTGGAGTTGTGACTTTATGAAAATTTATATACTGGTGAAAAGTGAATATTTATACACTTGTGCCTGTTGATGAGCCACCGCTGAGCACAGCATACTCTCTCTCTCTCTCTCTATACAATACAACAATCAAGATGTGATCGAAGTGTAGACTTTCAGCTTTACTTTAAGAGGTTCCACAAAAATATGGCATTTACCATTTAGGAATTACAGCCATTTTCAGCAAGGTACCTCCATTTTCAGGGGCTCAAAGGTATTTGGACAAAGTGACATAATTGCAAATATAACCATAATTTTATTACTTGGATGAAAATCCTTTGCAGTCAATGACTGCCTGAAGTCTGGTGCCCATGTTCTCAAAACTCAAATTCTGAGTTTCCTTCCTTCCTTCTGAGGCCTTCACTGCAGCCACCTTCAGTTGCTGCTTGTTTGTGGGTCTTTCTGCCTTCAGTCTTGTCTTCAGTAAGTGAAAAGCAGCTCTATTGGGTTGAGATCAGGCGACTGACTTGGCCATTGAAGAATATTCCATTTCTTTGCCTTCAAAAAGGTCTTGAGTTGCTTTCGCAGTGTGTGTAGGGTCATTATCCACCTGCACTGTGAAGCGGCGTCCTATCAGTTTTGTAGCATTTGGCTGAATGTGAGCAGAGAGTAGAGCCCTATACACCTCAGAACTCATCTTGCTACTTCTGTCAGCAGTCACATCATCAATAAACAACTCAACAATAAACAGCCATACGTGCCCATGCCATAACACTTCCTCCACCATATTTGACACATGATGTGGTATACTTTGGATCATGAGCTGTTCCTTTCTTTCGCCATACTTTTCTCTTCCCATCATTCTGGTACAAGTTAATCTTGGTTTCATCAGTCCAAAGAATCTTATTCCAGAACATGGGAGGCCTTTTTAGATGTTTTCTCTCAAGGTCTATTCTGGCTTTCCTGTTCTTGAATGTTACCAGTGGTTTGCACCTTGTTGTAAACCCTCTGTATTTACATTCATGAAGGCGTCTCTTGATTGTAGATTTTAACAATGATACGCCTACTTTCTCCAGACTATTCTTGACTTCTGTTGATGTTGCGAAGGGGTTTTTCCTTCACCAAGGAAAGAATTCTGCGATCATCCACTTTAGTTGTCTTCCGTGGTCTTCCAGGCCTTTCGATGTTGCTGAGCTCACCAGTGCTTTCTTTCTTTTAAGAATGTACCCAACTGTTGATTTGGCCACACCTAAGGTTTTTGCTATCTCTCTTATAGATTTATGTTGTTTTTTCAGTCTAATGATGGCCTCCTTCACTTGCATTGAGATCTCCTTGGACTGTATATTGGTAGCTCCAGTCAAACAGCTGCCAAATGCCAACTCAATACCTGATATCAACTCCAGACCTTTTATCTGCTTCATTTGTCTTGACGTAACGAGGGAATGGACCGCACCTGGTCAGTTAACTTCTTGTCAGTCAATTGTCCAAATACCTTTGAGCCACTGAAAATGGAAATACTTTGCTGAAAATGGCTGTAATTCCTAAACGGTAAATGCCATATTTTTGTGGAACCTCTTAAAATAAAGCTGAAAGTCTACACTTCGATCACATCTTGATTGTTTGATTTCAAATCCATTGTGGTGGTGTATAAAGGCAAAATCATAAAAACTCTGTCATTGTCCAAATACTTCCGGACCTGACTGTTTATGGATTTGGGCAGATTATAGACTGTAGCAGACAATTTCTGAATTGGTATAGCCAAAGATTTAATCTATTACGCACATTTACATTTTCAAATCCTAAAGCTTACAATCCAGTAACAACATGGAAAGCAATGCAAAACTAATTAAGTTTATACTATAAGGGCAGGAAGTGAAAGTGGGGAACCATTCACAGTCACTTGGAGTTTTATTTGTTGAAAAGACTTTGATATATTGGTTTATAAATGTTCCCAGAATTGGAAAACTATCAGATGTAGTTTTCTTTTATCCTTTTTTGACCTCAAGGAAAAAGTTGTATGTGCATTCGATATGTGAAAAAATAAGTCTAAACCTACCATTGTTTACATCAAATTATTAACTATAATAACTTTCCTGTAGTAACCATATACCTAGTATAAATAACCTTATGATGGCAGGATTGTTTTTAAAAATTTTTTTTTTTTTATCACACTTATTTAGATACAACCAGAATATCAAAATATATATCAAGATTCTTCTGGGTGCTTTGTGTTTTGGATGGGTTAATCCAGTATCCAGACCCATTATTTGTATGTGAGGGGGTGGAGTGCTTTGTCGCTTATCCCTGTTAATGAAAGCTTGTCTTTAGGAGAGTACATTCTGCCCCCTCTCTCTGCCTACAGCTGTGTGCTTTTATCCGAGTTAGATTTTTCGAGGGGTCTAAGATTCACTATTTACTGTATATCCTGTACGCCAACTGTCGACTTCATCAACTTTCAACAAATGAATGAACACAGACACATGTGTCTCACATGAGTGCATAACATTTAACATCACACATCTTTCCACTGGATTAAAATGGGCTTGAAATACATTTGGCTATATGTAGAATATAGAACTACTGTTAGATCTGTTGAATTTGTAAAATATTTTGTCAATTAGCAATCTAAGAAGAAATCAAACCACCCGTCTACTCAGTGTAATGTGTATACTGAAGCAGGGCTGTTTGCTCTGTAAAACAGATCGTAGAATAATGTGTCTTCTCGGGTTAATCTCTACTTATTTGTCTCATTATTTGCTCTTTGGGTCAAATTCAGATGAGAGCTTACAGCAGTACCTAATAAACTCTCTCTTTCTATTTCTAAATCCTGATATCAGGCTTAGGATAATTCATTAATGTCCTTGCATTTAGCAAAAACTAGAGCGCCATAAACAGTGTACATTATTTCGAAACACAATTATTTGTATCTTACAGACTTTTATTTGCAATTTCCACTCATTTTAATTAAGTAATACATTTATTGAGTTAGAATGCTTTAAAAAGGCACATAGTACACATATCTTTGCTGGGGTTTTTGGTAAATATAAACTTCACCCCAGTCCTGTATGCACACTCCCTGTTACACTGGCAAACTGAATAATCCATGTCAAGCTGCGGTGAAGATAAGAAACCATGAGAGGATTAGTGAGAAGCCCTGGATGATTTTTAAACTGAACCCTCAGGTATATGTGTATATTTTCAACATACCTGACCATTATGTTAACCTTAATCTTGTAAAGAACTAGACATAAAAATACAGATAAAAGCCACACACTGAGGAAGGACACACATCAAAGACTTATTTTATTACTCCACTTCTTATAGCATAGGGAACCATAATCTGTATGATAGGAGGATTATTAAACATGACTGTGAGGCACTAGGAACTAATTTCTCCTCCTTTAATCCCACATGTAACAGTTATCATGAAAGAGAAAGTAGGTGAATGTACTGGTGCACCAACAGGAGAGTTTTCAAGGTTAGGTGAAAACAGTATGAATATGTGACTTCATGCTAAATAGTACTTTAGAGCTTTGTATTTTCACACTTGTACGGTACAGTGAAAAAACCTTAAGCACATGTAAAGAAATTCTGGAAATATGCCTATTCTAATTATGTAAAGATATCCAATTTAATCAAAATCAATCAATTCTGTTCAGTACATTGTAAAGAATTGTCTGGTTGGTGGTTCCAGGCATCTTGGACAACTTTGCAGACTTTGGTTTCTGTGTCTACCTTCTTGAACAACAATTACAGTTTTTCTTTTTACTCGTGAGCAAAACTGGCCATGTGGTATCCCCTTGGTGGAAGGGATGGCATATTCTCTCTCCCCTATCAATCACAGTCACACTAGCCAATTGTGGGTGTCTATGGGTTCATGTATGCGGAAGAGGGCAGATAACGCCTTCCTGCACGTGTGTTATGCTGCCTTGTGACAGCAGCATGAGCAACAGTTCAAAAAGATGTGGTCGGCTGGCTTCAAATGAAAAAGCACATGTTAGCTTTCACCCTCCCTAGGATAAGGGAGAGCTGGCTGTTTGGTGAGAGTGACCAAATTGTGGAGGAAAAGGGGAAATTTTCTTCCATTGACATTAAAACAGTGGGCATAAAAAACAGATAACTACTCCACCATGTAAAATAATACCTGATGGTGCACTTTGTTCACATGCAATCTATTATGCTGGTATGTGATTTGGGATAATACACAGCTCTCTATTTACAGGAGTGATAAGATGAGGGAAAATTGCCTGGAGAAATGTTCTGTTCCTGCTCTATTTGTCCCTCAAATGCAAAACTATAATCTCAGGGTAAATTTTTGCATTCAGTGATCCACAAGCTGCTCTCTCAAACTGAATAAGGACAGTTTGTTTCCTCAGGACAGCATTAAAACCAGGTACATCTGATTCAGCTCATGGGTTCAAGGCATAGTGAATCTGCTTAGGTTGAATTTCCACTTAGGTTTGACAAGAAAAAGTTTCCAAAAGACCTGTCGTTGAGAAGGCTACTAGCAAGCTAATGAATATTGGAGGAATTTATTAAAAACTGGCATGATTTCAGAGTAAATATCTCTTCATAACTCCATGTTTTGACACTCAGCTACAA